CACCCATTCATCACGCTGCACAGGCATCACACAGCCAATGTAACCGTGCGGTTTGATAAACATGACCTTCCAATAGAGCTGCCAATACACTTGAAAAGATTTACTCGAAAATCTGCCAAGCTACTCAGCTTACGTTAAATTGTTTATCATACACGTTACAACCAGTCTGGTGTAATAGCTGACTTCCTTAGTTTTTATAAACACTTGGAGAGGACAGAGCTGTGGTAACAGTTCTTTATGACAACTTTTAACAACTATAAGTAAGCATCATTTAACATTAGTCTCCATATGTTATAGTAAGTGTTACATTTGGTGTTTCTGTCACCTACCAAACACTATAGTAAGTGTTACATTTGGTGTTTCTGTCACCTACCATACACTATAGTAAGTGTTACATTTGGTGTTTCTGTCACCTACCATACACTATAGTAAGTGTCACATTTGGTGTTTCTGTCACCTACCATACACTATAGTAAGTGTTACATTTGGTGTTTCTGTCACCTACCAAACACTATAGTAAGTGTTACATTTGGTGTTTCTGTCACCTACCAAACACTATAGTAAGTGTTACATCTGGTGTTTCTGTCACCTACCACACACTATAGTAAGTGTTACATTTGGTGTTTCTGTCACCTACCATACACTATAGAAAGTATTACATTTGGTGTTGTGTTTCTGTCACTTACCATACACTATAGTAAGTGTTACATTTGGTGTTTCTGTCACCTACCATACACTATAGTAAGTGTGACATTTGGTGTTTCTGTCACCTACCATACACTATAGTAAGTGTTACATTTGGTGTTTCTGTCACCTACCATACACTATAGTAAGTGTTACATTTGGTGTTTCTGTCACCTACCATACACTATAGTGTTACATTTGGTGTTTCTGTCACCTACCATACACTATAGTAAGTGTTACATTTGGTGTTTCTATCACCTACTTTTCTGTTTCTTGTGACCTAAATCCATCCACTCATCTTTTCGTTCAGATTGAAATCTACTGAATGGTTTATCTACTTATGGATCACATGACTTTCACACAAGCTTTTTATTTCAGAAGCAGTCAAGGCTAACCTTTGACTTTTAACCCCGACAACCAATATCTATTACTGAATCAGATGTAGGTCTTGATGGGGAGAAGCTGTGGTACAAATATGAACTAAATGTGTAGATCGGTTTATGAGATATTTACTACAACAGGTTATCACAGATACACCCACGCATTTACAAAGTGATAACCATATAACCCCGTTACTTAAGTGGGGGTATACTAAAAAGACGTTTCTCAGATTTCAGGAATAAATACTAATCGGTCTTTGTTTAAAAGATCCACAGGCTTCTCCATCAAAGAAAAGCTCAACAGAAAGGGGAGTGAACTCTGGTTACAAGTCTGTGCAGGTGGATCTTATCATCACTGACAGGGATAAAGAGCTATCACCAATGCTATCTCATAACTCAACACCAGACTAACTACTAACCAATACAAAGTGTGACCTAAACATCCCAGCCAGTTCCTGATTACAACCCTCACATGGGTACTACGTCTTCAAGGTGCTTATACACAGAAAGCTGATTTCTGCTGACAAAGTTGATTGTTAAAACATGATTGACGTGCTGTCCAGTCCAGTTATCATCCTATACCTGTACATGTATACATCTCTACTAGACAAGCTTATCCTGACCTTAAGACAACTGGGTCTAAATATTTCCTGATCTGCACAGTCTGGACCAGTTACTTCCTGATATTTAGACAGTCTGGACCAGTTATTTCCTAATACTTAGATAGTCTGGACCAGTTATTTCCTGATATTTAGAGAGTCTGGACCAGTTATTTCCTGATACTTAGAGACAGTCTGGACCAGTTACTTCCTGATACTTAGACAGTCTGGACCAGTTATTTCCTGATATTTAGAGACAGTCTGGACCAGTTATTTCCTGATACTTAGAGACAGTCTGGACCAGTTATTTCCTGATATTTAGAGACAGTCTGGACCAGTTATTTCCTGATACTTAGATAGTCTGGACCAGTTATTTCCTGATACTTAGATAGTCTGGACCAGTTATTTCCTGATACTTAGAGACAGTCTGGACCAGTTATTTCCTGATACTTAGATAGTCTGGACCAGTTATTTCCTGATACTTAGACAGTCTGGACCAGTTATTTCCTGATACTTAGAGACAGTCTGGACCAGTTATTTCCTGATACTTAGATAGTCTGGACCAGTTATTTCCTGATACTTAGATAGTCTGGACCAGTTATTTCCTGATACTTAGATAGTCTGGACCAGTTATTTCCTGATACTTAGATAGTCTGGACCAGTTATTTCCTGATACTTAGATAGTCTGGACCAGTTATTTCCTGATACTTAGAGACAGTCTGGACCAGTTATTTCCTGATACTTAGATAGTCTGTACCAATTATTTCCTGATACTTAGATAGTCTGGACCAGTTATTTTCTGATACTTAGACAGTCTGAACCAGTTATTTCCTGATACTTAGAGACAGTCTGGACCAGTTGTTTCCTGATACTTCGATAGTCTGGACCAGTTATTTCCTGATACTTGGAGACAGTCTGTACCAGTTATTTCCTGATACTTAGACAGTCTGGACCAGTTATTTCCTGATACTTAGAGACAGTCTGGACCAGTTATTTCCTGATACTTAGATAGTCTGGACCAGTTATTTCCTGATACTTAGAGACAGTCTGGACCAGTTATTTCCTGATACTTAGAGACAGTCTGGACCAGTTATTTCCTGATACTTAGACAGTCTGGACCAGTTATTTCCTAATACTTAGATAGTCTGGACCAGTTATTTCCTGATATTTAGAGACAGTCTGGACCAGTTATTTCCTGATACTTAGAGACAGTCTGGACCAGTTATTTCCTGATACTTAGAGACAGTCTGGACCAGTTATTTCCTGATATTTAGACAGTCTGGACTAGTTATTTCCTGATATTTAGAGACAGTCTGGACCATATATTAACTGACTCACAGACAGTGTGGTTCAGCTATCAACTGACCCTTAGGCAGTCAGGACCAGATATTAATTGACCTTTGACCTGCCTCATACATCTACCTAAAGATCTGTTGAGGGAAGACCAAGTCAAACTGTTCAGACCCAAAAAGCTGCCTTGACCAGCATCTATTAACTAGGACTCTTTACCAGCCATTAGGTCCAATTATCAAATGACCCTGAGCAGCTCAGTGCATTCCAATTCTGTAAAGCCATACATATTTCTGCCAGTCTGGCCCATCATTCAAACCCCATATATATCACTCCTACACACCCTGTTCACACATCGCCGGCCCAAGTATTGAACAAGCACAGCTATTGGTGTTAGAGACATCAATAACACTCCAACATAGCACTAAACTACAGTTTTCAATTGGGTATTCCTTGTAATCAAAGGAGGCTTTTATAGTTTTGGATGTTTCTAAATGGAGATAAATTCCTGTCCCACCATCTAACATCTAATATGAAATACAAGTTTTGCTAGATTATGCTACACTTTATTTCTCCAGAGAGACAATATTGATCACATAGAGGAAAGTCGGCTGTCATAACTTGGCTGGATAAAGGTCAGTAAAATGTGGGTCAACATTTTTACTATCTCAATATAAACAAGAATAAACGATGCTGTGTTATGTAACATAGATGGCTTTACAATACGAATTAATACTTTTTATTCTTAAGCCACAACAAATCCAGGTTTCCTTGTTAAGACAAGTGTACTTCAAAGTCAACCGTAAATTTTACAGCAAACACAGCCTTGAATGGTAGAAAACTTGACGTTTCCAAATATTTTAGTAAATACAGCCTAGAATGGTACAAAACTTGATGTGTTTCCAAATATTACAGCAAACACAGAATAGAATGTTGCAAAGCTTGATGTTTCCAAATTTTGTGCAAATACAGTCTTGAATGGTGCAAAGCTTGATGCGTTTCAAAATATTACAGCAAAAACAGCCTAGAATGGTAGAAAACTTGACGTTTCCAAATATTTTAGTAAATACAGCCTAGAATGGTACAAAACTTGATGTTTTTCCAAACACTTAAGCAAAAACAGCCTTGAATGGTACAAAACTTGATGTTTCCAAATATTTTAGTAAATACAGCCTGGAATGGTGCAAAACTTGATGTGTTTCCAAATATTACAGCAAACACAGAATAGAATGTTGCAAAGCTTGATGTTTCCAAATATTACAGCAAAAACAGCCTAGAATGGTAGAAAACTTGACGTTTCCAAACACTTAAGCAAAAACAGCCTTGAATGGTACAAAACTTGATGTTTCCAAATATTTTAGTAAATACAGCCTAGAATGGTGCAAAGCTTGATGTGTTTGCAAATATTACAGCAAACACAGCCTGGAATGGTGCAAAACTTGATGTTTCCAAATATTTTAGTAAATACAGTCTAGAATGGTGCAAAGCTTGATATGTTTCCAAATATTACAGCAAACACAGTCTTGAATGGTATAAAACTTGATGTGTTTCCAAATTTGATTATCACAATAAAAGGTTGAAATATTTCACCTTTTTATCGTATATTTATATCAAAATATACCGAAAATCATGCATTTTATAAAACTGACCAATGTGTTACCAGTATTCAACCTTACATGATATGTATTTTATGTTATATGATCCTTAGCAATTTGTTACATCTTACCTACCACATCACTACTAACAACAACACAATATGTACAGTTTACACCATGTATAGTTTAGAAGTATCATCTGTGTTTCACTTTTCCAAATACAAGCTGAAAAAAATTCTTGGCCCATACATTGTCTTATTAAGTATGATGTTAAACAACTTTTCAATCTAGTCAACACCAGTTCATACTCCAATCATGATCACTAACTATTCTTAAAAATTAAATATATTCGTAGATCATTTAAATGGAAGGAAATTCATAAGATTTTGCCTGAACTGAAGATTTTTAGGTTTTCTTCACAGACACCAAATATTTTGATAGATCATAAATACCTGAAAGCTGTGGTTGATGTTTTTGGTACTGCATTCTGCTACACTAAGATCTGTCAGTTCTATTTCATCGAAGATCACAGACTGCAAAATAAATGCTATGAGTGTTACATGCTATTTTTTGAAGTCTGACAACTTTACGGAGAAGGCTCTCATAAACAATGATTGTTGCCTAACTCCTGTACTAAGTTATAAAGTTTGACTCCTTTACAGAGAGAGCTCTCACAGCCCAAGGTTGTCGCCTAACTCCTGTACTAGGTTATAAAGTTTGACTCCTTTACAGAGAGAGCTCTCACAGCCCAAGGTTGTCGCCTAACTCCTGTACTAGGTTATAAAGTTTGACTCCTTTACAGAGAGAGCTCTCACAGCCCAAGGTTGTCGCCTAACTCCTGTACTAGGTTATAAAGTTTGACTCCTTTACAGAGAGAGCTCTCACAGCCCAAGGTTGTCGCCTAACTCCTGTACTAGGTTATAAAGTTTGACTCCTTTACAGAGAGAGCTCTCACAGCCCAAAGTTGTCACCTAACTCCTGTACTAGGTTATGAAGTTTGACTCCTTTACAGAGAGAGCTCTTACAGCCCAAGGTTGTCGCCTAACTCCTGTACTTGAATATGAAGTTTTAATCATTTACAGAGAGAGCTCTCATAGACCATGAATGTTGCCTAACTAACTTCTATCTTATGTATTTCCTTTACAATGAAATACTGGAAAGGCTGATTTTGTGTCTTTCTATGGATGTTCTTTTTTCAATTCAAAATTGAATTTAAATTTAAAATCAAATTTTTTTTTCAGATGTAATAAATGTAAACAGATATCTTGAACTAAAATTTTAGGAAGCAAACCATCAGCCACTGTATGATTTTTACAAAAATATACATCCAATTGCATGGCCAATATTTCAGTTTTTTCAACTGTGGCCAATTCAAATTTACAAAAAGAGAATTTCAAGCTACTTTCTATTGAGCTGTAAAATGTAAAGCATGATTTTTCATATGTATAAATGTGTACAGACACAGAGTACACATTTTCTGCTTTTATCATTTAATGTAGAAATAAATTTGCTGAGTATCTACTGTAAGTAAAACAAAATTCAATATACCTGCAATACTATCAACTCCATAGTACTTTTCAGCTTACCCTTACTAACAGAATTTCTCTTCAATAAACATTGAAATCTTTTTTGGGATAGAAATATGATAATAAGAATTGAAGTATTTGCCCAAATCAATCACAGAATTATAAGGAGATCTGCAAAAATACAACACTCTAGTATCATTGATAAAATAATAAAGCTGACAATTTTAACTTTGGCTTGATATCATATACTTACAAATATGAATGCGTTCTTTTCCTAGTATAATTTACATAGAGTTGCCTCCCTTTATATAACAGATCTGTAAACTAGTTTCATTACCTTGGTATCTTTTGCATAGTAGAGTCGCCTCCCCTTCAACTTGAAATATCGTCTCTTCCATCTCTGTTAAGGCAGAAATGATAAATTAAAAATTTCACTTAGATCAAGAATTAACGGCCATTTCAACTATATATAAAATTTTTAAATTGTTCAATGTTCTTTAAATTCATTTATATCAGAACTTCAAACAAACTTAAAAATATAAAGCATCCATCATGTTGGATTAGTAGGAAATGTTACTAAATCTCACCTGAAAATTTGTTTGTTTCATGAGGTAGCCTTCTTTGGTCGATGCCTAAAATAGAAATAAAGCATGAAAATGTAATTAACATTTTGAATTTTGTAAAATTATCAAATGAAAAAAATAAACAAGATATTTCACCACTCATTAAATGAAAAGCATTCACTTAATGATTTTGATCTATTTATAGTTCCACATCTCTACCTTGAATAAGCTCATCAGTTCATTTTTTTCTGTGTTTGAAAAGGTGACTAAAAACAGATTCTAGAATTATGAACACAAATCAGTATAAAGATCTAATTAAACGTGGAGAGAGCTAGAATGGACTTTTCCAAGGACAAAGATGTATTTCCTTCTGTCAGTGTCTACACTAATTATAACCTATACATAAATACCCAATAACAAGCTGGTTACTTTCAATGCTGATGTTACTGGAGTGGCTGTTTAAAATCAAGTCACTGCTTTTAAAGATTCTATTCATAAGATAATGTTTATAAGATATGTGTTTAAGTAAAACAGAATTCTTTCCTGGTCCATGTTAAATTATGTGTATGGTCCTTGTAAACCAGACACCTTGGCTATATACATGGTCTGTGTTACCAGACACCTAGGCTATGTACATGGTCTGTGTTACAAGACACCTAGGCTATGTACATGGTCTGTGTTACCAGACACCTAGGCTATGTACATGGTCTGTGTTACCAGACACCTAGGCTTTGTACATGGTCTGTGTACATGGTCTGTGTTATCAGACACCTAGGCTATGTACATGGTCTGTGTTACAAGACACCTAGGATTTGTACATGGTCTGTGTTATCAGACACCTCGGCTATGTACATGGTCTGTGTTACCAGACACCTAGGCTATGTACATGGTCTGTGTTATCAGACACCTAGTCTCTGAACATGGTCTGTGTTACCAGACACCTCAGCTATGTACATGGTCTGTGTTATCAGACACCTAGTCTATGTACATGGTCTGTGTTACCAGACACCTAGTCTCTGTACATGGTCTGTGTTATCAGACACCTCGGCTATGTACATGGTCTGTGTTATCAGACACCTAGTCTCTGAACATGGTCTGTGTCTCTGTACATGGTCTGTGTTATCAGACACCTAGGCTTTGTACATGGTCTGTGTTACCAGACACCTCGGCTTTGTACATGGTCTGTGTTACCAGACACCTAGGCTTTGTACATGGTCTGTGTTATCAGACACCTAGGCTTTGTACATGGTCTGTGTTACCAGACACCTAGGCTATGTACATGGTCTGTGTTACCAGACACCTAGTCTATGTACATGGTCTGTGTTACCAGACACCTAGTCTCTGTACATGGTCTGTGTTACCAGACACCTCGGCTATGTACATGGTCTGTGTTACCAGACACCTAGTCTATGTACATGGTCTGTGTTATCAGACACCTAGTCTCTGTACATGGTCTGTGTTACCAGACACCTCGGCTATGTACATGGTCTGTGTTACCAGACACCTAGTCTCTGTACATGGTCTGTGTTATCAGACACCTCGGCTATGTACATGGTCTGTGTACATGGTCTGTGTGCATGGTCTGTGTTAGCAGACACCTCGGCTATGTACATGGTCTGTGTTACCAGACACCTAGTTTCTGTACATGGTCTGTGTTACCAGACACCTAGGCTATGTACATGGTCTGTGTTACCAGACACCTAGTTTCTGTACATGGTCTGTGTTACCAGACACCTAGGCTATGTACATGGTCTGTGTTACCAGACACCTAGGCTATGTACATGGTCTGTCCTATGTTAAGCTACCATGACTTAACATGCCCCTTTTTTTATTTGATGACTGTGAACTTTATACACAATAGGTGGACATATGAGTACAATGAAACAATTTCATATGATGAAGCAAGCCTGATAAAACTGTCATTTGCCTGTAAAGAACACAAAAGCTACAATTTACCAGGTGCCCTCAACAGCTGGCTACATAACCTATAAAATCATGTTGACCATTTCCTGATACAGTTAATGTATTCAGTCCAATTTTCTAAAGCCTAACACAAGCTATTTCCAACTTGATTATAGCTTAATTTCATAATTTACACATATTTGTGGAGTACAGGAAATTGTTGCAATTGCCCTAAATGTCAGTCCTATTTTTTTTTACCAAACCATATCGTCTAGATACCTGGCAGTGCCCTCAGACAGTGTTGTATCAAATTCATATATATGCATTAATATTTCTATTCTGCCTCAGTTCAGAAATGGTATTGGACCTACATGATATGTCAATTACACTCTTGGGACTTGGTTGGTGTATTGTTTTGATGAACATTCAGTAATACAAACCTGCTAAGTGAATAGATCTAGAGTCATCTAGAAGTATCCACTGTCTCCTGATACCCTTTCCTATATGTACAGAGGATATGACAGTACAGCAGATCTATCATGTTATCAATGAAATAGGGCTTTAACACAACAAGGTGAAAGTCCTTGGGAAATATGCATTGTTCAAACTAACAGATTTGTTTTAGGACCAACTCTGTCTATACATATGATAAGGATATCAAAACATTAGCAATCAAATCCATCTGGTGACCATGACAACTGGCAAATGTTAAAATATCATGAGGCAAATATCATATGACCATATATTACAGTGGACAACACAAAATCCATCAATAAAACAGAAAAAAATTTGAAAACAAGAGGCCCATGGGCCTTAACGGTCATCTGACAAAAAGCAAGCCAAACCTAGAAAGTGGGTTGAGGTCATTCATTTGAACAAACTTGGTAGCCTCTCCTCCAAGCATCTTACAGGCCCAATATCAGCACTCATGGACTTTTGCTTGTTGAGAAGAAGTCGTTTGTATATTTTAACATATTTGACCCCTGTGACCTTGAAAGTGGGCTGAGGTCATTCATTTGAATAAACTTGGTAGCCTTTCCTCCCAGCATGCTACAGACCCAATATCGGCACTCATAGACTTTTGCTTATTGAGATGAAGTCCTTTGTATATTTTAACATATTTGACCCCTGTGACCTTGAAAGTGGGCCAAGGTCATTCATTTGGACAAACTTTGTAGGGCTCCATGCCAGCATGCTATGAGCCAAGTATTAGCCCCCTAGGCCTTCTAGTATTTGAGAAGAAGTTATTTAAAGATTTTGACATATTTGACCCCTGCGACCTTGAAAGTTGTTCAAGGTCATTCATTTAAATAACTTGGTAGCCTTTCCTCCCAGCATGCTACAGACCCAATATCGGCACTCATAGACTTTTGCTTATTGAGATGAAGTCCTTTGTATATTTTAACATATTTGACCCCTGTGACCTTGAAAATGGGCCAAGGTCATTCATTTGAACAAACTTTGTAGGGCTCCATGCCAGCATGCTATGGGCCAAGTATTAGCCCCCTAGGCCTTCTAGTATTTGAGAAGAAGTTATTTAAAGATTTTGACATATTTGACCCCTGCGACCTTGAAAGTTGTTCAAGGTCATTCATTTAAATAAACTTGGTAGCCTTTCGTCCCAGCATGCTACAGACCCAATATCGGCACTCATAGACTTTTGCTTATTGAGATGAAGTCCTTTGTATATTTTAACATATTTGACCCCTGTGACCTTGAAAGTGGGCCAAGGTCATTCATTTGAACAAACTTTGTAGGGCTCCATGCCAGCATGCTATGGGCCAAGTATTAGCCCCCTAGGCCTTCTAGTATTTGAGAAGAAGTTATTTAAAGATTTTGACATATTTGACCCCTGCGACCTTGAAAGTTGTTCAAGGTCATTCATTTAAATAAACTTGGTAGCCTTTCCTCCCAGCATGCTACAGACCCAATATCGGCACTCATAGACTTTTGCTTATTGAGATGAAGTCCTTTGTATATTTTAACATATTTGACCCCTGTGACCTTGAAAGTGGGCCAAGGTCATTCATTTGAACAAACTTTGTAGGGCTCCATGCCAGCATGCTATGGGCCAAGTATTAGCCCCCTAGGCCTTCTAGTATTTGAGAAGAAGTTATTTAAAGATTTTGACATATTTGACCCCTGTGACCTTGAAAGTTGTTCAAGGTCATTCATTTAAACAAACTTGATAGCCCTTCATCCCAGCATGCCACAGGCACAATATCAGCAATCTGAGCCTTTTGGTTATTGAGAAGAAGTTGTTTAAAGATTTTAACATATTTGACCCCTGTGACCTTTAAAGTGGGTCAAGGTCATTCATTTGAACAAACTTGGTAGTCCTTCATCCCAGCATGTCACAGGCCCAATATCTACACTCTGAGCCTTTTGGTTAATGAGAAGAAGTTGTTTAAAGATTTTAACATATTTGACCCCTGTGACCTTGAAAGTGGGTTGAGGTCATTCATTTGAATAAACTTGGTAGCCTTTCCTCCCAGCATGCTACAGACCCAATATCGGCACTCATAGACTTTTGCTTATTGAGATGAAGTCCTTTGTATATTTTAACATATTTGACCCCTGTGACCTTGAAAGTGGGCCAAGGTCATTCATTTGAACAAACTTTGTAGGGCTCCATGCCAGCATGCTATGGGCCAAGTATTAGCCCCCTAGGCCTTCTAGTATTTGAGAAGAAGTTATTTAAAGATTTTGACATATTTGACCCCTGCGACCTTGAAAGTTGTTCAAGGTCATTCATTTAAATAAACTTGGTAGCCCTTCATCCCAGCATGCCACAGGCACAATATCAGCAATCTGAGCCTTTTGGTTATTGAGAAGAAGTTGTTTAAAGATTTTAACATATTTGACCCCTGTGACCTTTAAAGTGGGTCAAGGTCATTCATTTGAACAAACTTGGTAGTCCTTCATCCCAGCATGTCACAGGCCCAATATCTACACTCTGAGCCTTTTGGTTAATGAGAAGAAGTTGTTTAAAGATTTTAAAATATTTGACCCCTGTGACCTTTGAAGTGGGTCAAGGTCATTCATTTGAACAAACTTGGTAGAGCTCCATGCCAGTATCCTCTGTGCCAAGTATTAGCCCCCTAGACCTTCTAGTATTTGAGAAGAAGTCGTTTGAATGAAAAGTTTACGGACGGCGCACGACGCAC